ACACATTTAGAGAGGCTCAGGAAGAGGATATTGTCCCCGTGGAGAGACCATACCTTGACAAGTATGGAAAAGAACGACATAATATTCCGTGAGTCATTTCATCCCCGACAAGCTACCCAGTCTGATATATGAAAAGCGTGAAGAAGGGAGATCTTTTTATGATTCCTATCTATGCTATCAACCGAATGGAGGAGATTTGGGGACCCGACGCCAACGAATTCAAGTATGGGCCTATTCCACGAATAAGCTTGGGTCATGACTAATGAGTTCCGTTCAATAGGCCAGAGCGATGGCTCTCTTCTCTGCCGAGTCGCCACTCTTCGTTCAATATGGCGGGCGAATCATCAAATCCTGTTTGGGGATGGGGAGGAGTATTGACCTTCTCAAGTGGGCAACGAGGCTGTATAGGATTTCGATTTGCCGTCCTCGAGTGAGTCGCCCTTGGCGTTGTATTAGAACCACCAACCTTCGACCGTACTGACTTGAACACTAGAATGAAGGCAATCCTACTGCAAGTTGTGCGCGCATTCGAATTTGATCTAGCGGTTCCAAAAACGGAAATAGGAAAAACGCACATGTGGGTTATCCTTACTCTCATTATTTCATAGCTAACCTTGATCGACGATAGGATTGTGTCTCGCCCTATGGTCAAGTCGGAGCCGGAGAGGGGGAATCAGTTGCCAATGATTGTCCGTCCTCTTATACCCAAAGCTGCCTACTAGTACTCGTAATTCTTGTACCGTTCTCAATACTATGACTTGAACTGGGATTCGATGTAGTCGAGTAAACGGGTATTGAGTGCTCGCTAATACGTGAGAGGGCATACACCGAAAGAGGAATTGGTTTGTAATTGGATTACTAAGGCGCAAAACACGGAGTAGACAGCTATAAACCCAGCGTTTCCCCTCTGAACTCACCCGCTCTCTACAATCGAACCCAACAGAGCCCATAATGTCTGGAACGATGAAAGCAGCGGTTATGTATGAACCTGGTGGACCGGAAGTCTTCAAACTAGAAACGCTACCCATCCCGCAACCATCCAATGAACAGGTGCTCATCCGCATCAAAGCCTTTGGCATCAACCGCTCGGAGCTCTATACTCGTCAGGGCCACTCACCTGGTGTACATTTTCCCCGGGTACTAGGCATCGAAGCCATCGGTACTGTCGAAAGTGCACCAGGAGGACAGTTCCGAAAAGGCGAAATCATTGCCACAGCCATGGGCGGCTTGGGACGCCAGTTTGATGGCGGGTATGCAGAGTTCACCTGTGTACCTGTTACACAAGCACAAGTCTTCCATTCCACGTTACCTTGGGACGTACTTGGTGCGATCCCAGAAATGCTCCAGACCGCATGGGGATCCCTTTTCAGGAGCTTGCGACTGAAAGAAGGAGATCGGTTGCTGATTCGAGGTGGAACGTCTTCCGTTGGACTTGCTGCTGCTGCTATCGCAAAGAAGCATGGTGCAGTTGTCGCCTCCACCACAAGGCGAACCGATCGTGAAGGGATACTACGTGGGAATGGGGCCGACGAAGTATATATTGACGATGGAAAGATAGCAAGCAAGTTGAGCACAGCCGCCAAATTCGATAAGGTTCTCGAACTTGTCGGGACTACGACTCTCGAAGACTCGCTCCATTGTGCAAAGGAAGGAGGTGTCGTCTGCATGACTGGTATGGTGGGAAATAGCTGGGTCTGGCCAAACTTTGCACCCAATAGTGATATTCCAACGGGGGTGTACTTGACTTCGTACATTGGAGGGACAGAAGACTTTATGCGAACGCCATACGAAGAGCTCATCCGACAAATTGAAGATGGAAGTATGAAGATACAGATAGGAAAGGTCTTCAAGCTCGATGAAATTGTGGAAGCCCACAAATGTATGGAAGAGAACCGAGCCGGCGGAAAGATTGTAGTCTTGACCTGAAGCTTCATAGCGGAATTTAGCTAGAAAACATCCATTAGAAATAGATTTCTGAATCACCAAGTTGAGTAGATTTTAAAGACTCAATCTCACCGTGCATTCAGTCATTGCAGACTACCCGTATGATTGAGTTCCATTTATCTTACTTTTCAGTTTATCCGTTGTTGTCATCGAACTCGGGAAGTTGGCCAACGCGCCGCAACATGGTGGTCGTCCAAGAGGCGGCAATTCAGGCACAAACTTGAACCCTTCCAACTCCGGTATATACGAGCCCGACACCATGCCCTTAGTTATACCCTCCTATGTACTTTCTCTCCCAGATGTGAACTCTATCACTCCTTTCAGAGTTGCGATGGTTTCTCTGCTTGTCATGATTGGTATCCCTATCGGCCAGACATTCAAGGGCATGTTGGGCGCGTGGTTCTCGCCGATAAAGGACGTTCCTGCACCTGACGGAGGGGGTTTTTTTCTCGGTCATTTGGGGGAGATACGTAAAGCAGACGCCGGTGACTGGCACGAGGAGATGATTGAGAAATATGGGCATGTCCTACGTTACAAGCATTTCTTCGGGGTGGGTGTTTCTCCTCGCAACATTATTCTTCGTCGGTGATTACGCGTATACTGACTTGCTACCCGTTGGGACCTCTCGGCATGGTGAACGCGCGTGTAGGGCGACCGGCTATTCACTATTGACCCCAAGGCCATCAACCATATCCTCACCAATTCATTCCTCTATAAAAAGCCGGATCAGATGAGATACACGCTGGGCAACTTCCTTGGCGAAGGTACGTATTCAGATAGCCTTCCGCGGTCATTGTTTTGACTGTACCCTAGGCCTCCTATTCAGCGAAGGTATGCTCTGAATTGAGGGACACAGAAGGGTTCGTTTACTCAATAAATTCATAGGGATGCAGCATAAGAAACAAGTAAGCGTTAGCCATACCGTTTTGGCCTGCCAATACTGACGAATCATCAGCGCAGGATCATGGTACGGCTTTTACCCATTCAAGAGGACATATTCACAATTTATCTTTCTTTAGAACCCTTCGTTCAGTTTGGGCCACATACGAGAAATGACGGAAATATTTGTCGCCAAGTCGAATGAAGTAGGAGACGCTCTACTCGTTCAGTATACGAATTTACACTGACAACGCAACTAGCTTAGGGATGTTCTGTTGAACCAATTACCTTCTCACGACGCGACAGCGCGTGTCGACATGCTTTCTCTTCTATCTAGTACCACCCTTGACATCATCGGTCTTGCTGGTTTCAACTACGAGTTCAACGCCTTGAAGGACGAAAGCACAGATTTATCCTTGGCCTTTGAATCCATCCTTCGGACGACAAATAGTTTTCCCATCTTTCAAGTACTCAAGGAACAATTCCGGTTTTTACGACCAATCTTGAGATTCGACGGTCTCTCGAAAAATTTGGAATATGCTCAAAAAACGATGCAAGCGGTTGGATTGGAGCTTATTGCCCAGAAGAAAAAGGATATCGCGGCGGAAATGGAGTCTGGGAAGAAGAGTGGCGCAAAAGACTTGCTATCACTGTTGCTCATGTCGAACCTAGATGAGAAAGGAGAGAAGCTGACAGACCGCGAAGTGCTCCACCAGATCCCAACGTTCCTCCTGGCGGGTATGTAGCATGTCTAAGAATGCCTCGGTGATAATTAATGTACTCTTTGCAGGTCACGAGACAACCTCGACGTCCACTACATGGGGACTTTTCTCTCTTGCCATCCATAAACCTATCCAAAGTCGACTTCGCCAAGAGCTACGCACCATCAGCACCGACTTCCCAACCATGGAAGAACTCAATTCACTTCCATACCTGGATGCTGTCGTCCGCGAAATCCTTCGATACCACTCGGTCGTTCTGGGCACCGTCAGAACGGCCTCCGAAGACGATGTTATTCCATTGGAAACGGAGTTTACCGATCGACATGGAAAAACAAGGAACTCTATTAGGTAGGAGAGCAGCCAAATTCAAAATATTTTAGTGCTCATCAAAGACAAAGTGTACGCAAAGGCGACAGTATCTTCATCTCTATTGTCGTTGTGAACAAGTCTAGGTCTATTTGGGGCGAGGACGCCAAAGAATTCAAGTAAATATTCCTATTCGGAAGCGTCGAGGGATTGGATGCTAACAAGACCTCCAGCCCGGATCGATGGCTCGCCCCTCCAAAGGCTTCTTATTCCATTCCCGGTGTTTGGGGAAATCAACTTACGTTCCTTGGTGGACCACGTGGTTGTATCGGTTTCAAATTTGCGGTTACAGAGTATGTCACGTCCCAATTTCGCCATCTAACTTCTCATAACCTTATGACAGGATGAAAGCTCTGCTCTTTGCACTCATTCGCAACCTCGAATTCGATCTTGCAGTGCCAAAGGAGGAAATACTTAAACGATCTTCGTATGTTCTGATACTTCTCTCTGAAGAAAAGGTATTTAATGCATTGTAGAATTGTCACTCGACCTCTAGTCAAGTCAGATATGGACAAAGGGAACCAGATGCCATTGATCATCCGCGTTGCCTCCTAAATACACAGTCAACATACTGTACGCTGAGCTTCTCGGTAGATGGATATTCATCCAGCAAATCGGTTTGGAGGTATATCTGGCTTATTTATCAAATGTTCTGTAGGAATACCTTGGCATCTAACGACAGATTTAAATCTAACGATGAATTATTTTGAGATGTCGTGTGCTGGTTCAGAATGAGATATCATTCGTGTATCCGGTCAACCCGCAGCCTTCGATGAATAGGATTTGTGATAGCCGCAAAAATCTATTATGATGCATTATCTTGACGGCAGATTAGGGATGCTCTTTGGTCAGTCTTTGACTGACAGCTTCTTCACGACGTGTAATGTCTCGAGCCCGTCCATAACGTCACGATAGTCGATTCTAATTCTAAAGAACCTGTCAAAACAACCGGCGGCTCTGATTTCACTGTATAGAAGGATGATTTATATATCAGCTCGTGCGGAATTATGTAATTGACCGTTTGGTTTGACAGGAAATATCAGTTAAGGGCACCATTAACCAGCCGAGATTTGATGCGTTCCTGAGTCGGATTGCCGCTTCAGTCCACCCGACTCGTTACCTTTCTCACGAGCTTGCTAAAAATATCAAGTCCGTAAGGCTGGCGTCTAGTCAACCTCAGCACCTTGGACTCTCCCTATACGCCCTATTTCCCTTCCCACTCTGCTACTCATGAAGTCAGCGCTTTATCTGAAACATTCTGAAGCTTCTGACACTGTTCCATAGCGCTTTCGTATTTCAAAGTGAACAGTCAAGACCTGGTATATTATTGCCTCTATTGACACTGTTTATAACTAGATACAAGGATCGAGTTATCAAGTCAGGATGATAGCTTTCTTATCGACGTCGCCCATCTGATACTGGAATTCGAGGCCAATGGTGCAGTTATTTCCAAAACGAACCTCTTTTCGAACGAGTCTAAACGTGGAGTGTGGGAAGAGAGCGGAATCAACATTTTGTAAGCATCTCGAACACTTCGATGAAGCATCTTCCCTTAACGTCAACGAATAGAGATGTGGACACCCCAGAGATCAAGGCGTCGGTTTTGATTGAGATCGATGATAACGAGCGCCGGTTACTCGGGTATGTGGAGTTGAATAGACTAGAGATAGCTGGTGGAGCCGGAAAAGAGTATGGTAAGGTCGTAAATCTGCTCTCTTGGGTTATCTTGACTCGGCTTACAGAACTGCCGTTGGTACCTCACGAGAGCTACCCGAGCTTGGTTCTCAAGGCCAGAATACTGAGCAAGGAGAATAGTCAGAAACTTCTTACATTGATTAAAAAACAAGTTGAACTACAATCTAGGCAAGGAAAGAGCGAAGAGGTGCCAAAGGACATGGAAGCCCAGGAACAGATAGGATTAGATCCTCAAGAGTTGATTAGGATTCTCAAAGATGATCCAACCGACAGTGTTGCTACGAGAAATCAAGCATCATCTCCATCGAAAATCTTTGATCTTGGACGTGTCGCTGACATCGACGATGTAGTAGTTCGAACTCAAGCAGTCGTCGATCTCACCCCGAACGACGACCCCAAAAAACCCAGTTACCTTTACGTATTAGGATTGGCTCTTCGCATTCGCTTCGAGAGACTCGGAAATCTTGCGGACCTTGAGAATGCCATCTCTCGCCAACAAGAGGCACTGGATCTTGCTACGGACGGCCACCCTGAGAGGCCTCATTGTCTCATTTTTCTTGGGGGCTCCTTCATGACTCGATTCGAGCGACTCGGAGACACTGTAGACCTCCACAATGCCATCTCACTAAAGCAGGCAGCTGTCGATCTCCTACCGAATGAAGACCCTTTCAAGCCAAGTTTCTTGAGTAGTCTTGGAAATTGCCTTCGTATCAGCTTCCAGCGATTCGGAAATATTGTGGACATTGATAGTGCCATTTCACGACTCGAGGAATCAATCGATCTAGCATCAGAAGACGAACCTGGTAAATCGGGCTATTTGAATAACTTGGGAATTTCTCTTCGCCTCCGCTTCAACAGACTCCACTTTCCTGCCGACATCAATAACGCCATCTTACGACAACGCACTGCTACCAACCTCACACCAGAAGGCTACCCAGAAAAGCCTGGTTACTTGAGCAATCTCGGAAACTCCCTGGTTGATCGCTTCAACTTGTATGGGAGTCTTCTGGACCTGGATGATGCCATCTTGCAACATGAGATGGCAGTTAATCTCACTCCGGATAGTCACCCCTATAAGCACCGGTATTTTTCTAGTCTTGGAACTTCGCTAAAACTTCGGTTTGAGCGCCTCAGGGCCACAGAAGATTTAGAAAAATCTATTTCATGCTACCAAATGGCGGCTAATCTTACTCTCGATGGCCATCCTCAAAAGCCTGGAAATTTGAGTAACCTTGGAGCCTCTCTTTTGAGTCGCTTTATGCGGCTTCAGAATATCGCCGACCTGGAAGACTCTATATCACAACAGCAAGCAGCAGTGGATCTCATTCCAGATAGCCATCCAGATAAGCCTGGCTATCTAATCAACCTTTCAAATTCGATTGAGAGGCGTTTTTACCAGTCAAATAATGCTCAAGACGCCGAAGCAGTCATTTCCTGTTTATCTACAGCCGCAAAGTCCCACATTGGCTCACCATCCATCCGCCTTTCCGCCGCTGAAGCATGGATTCATTTTGCATCTCAAACATCCCATACCTCTCTACTGTCTGCTTATGAATGTGCACTCTATCTCATGCCACTTGTCGCTTGGCTAGGGCTTTCCATACCTGACCGGCATCAACATCTTGTCACCATAGGTGGAATTGCTAGAGATGCAGCTGCAGCAGCCATAACTCTCGAGCAATACGATAAAGCGCTCGAATGGCTTGAACAAGGACGTTCGATAGTTTGGACTCAAATTCTTCAACTTCGAACACCGGTGGACCAGCTACGTGCCGTTAACCCAGCCCTTGCCGACCGGCTTTTGGAAATTTCTCAGATGTTGGATCGAGGTCTCCCCCAAGGTGGTGACTTTGATGGGGATTTTCGATCTATGGAGGAAGAGGGGCGTCGTTACCGTGCATTGACGACAGAATGGGAATCGGTCATTGAACAAGTTCGATTCCTGCCTAGCTTTGAGGACTTTTTGAAGACTCCAAGCTCATCAAGGTTAGGAAAAGCTGCACAAAATGGTCCAGTAGTTGTTTTAAACATTGCCAATGCCCGCTGTGACGCGCTTGCTATCCTTCCGGGGCTTGATGAAGTTGTCCATATTCCTCTGCCGAACATCACGTCCAGGAGAGTGACGGAGATTCAAGAAGAGGTAAAGGGGCTATTATTCTCAAATGGTCTTCGGGCTCAAACCGAGCGCGCTGCCACGAGAATGACAGATGAGAATAATAATGAAGGCTTTGAACAGATTTTGACCGAGCTCTGGGAGAAAATAGTGAAGCCAGTTATGGATTCTTTGGCATTTTCAGTAGGCTTTACTCAACCATTCCGGTCGTCATATACTGATTATGCCATTTATAGCCCCATCCTGATATCCTTCCACGTATTTGGTGGTGTGCTACGGGTCCACTGGCATTTCTTCCAATACACGCGGCTGGAATATATGATTTGGACTCAGAATCACAACTTGCCAACTATGCTATATCATCTTACACTCCCACATTGTCTGCCTTACTCGAATCATTCAAGCACACTTCGGATACGCACTTCAAACTACTCTCAGTGATACAACCATCGGCTCCAGGTACCTCACATATTCCGAACACCAAGCAGGAACTTGAAAATATTCGACAGAGGTTTATCAATCGAGAACATACGGTACTTGACGGTGAAGATGGAATGAAATCACGAGTCACAGAAGCAATGAAGCAATGTAATTGGATTCATCTG